ACATTCTTTTGAGGGTACACGCTATAAATCTCAATATACATTCTGAATAGTTTGATTAGTGCAAAATGTACTATATGAGTTATAGCATGATAAAAGACATTTTCTTCACATATTAAATATGGGTTGCCCTGCATATGTAAAGAAATGTGCACTAATCAAATTGAAAGCTGAAGTAACATAGAGAATGAAGATTTGTTAGATGGTCTAACGAAGGATTCAGTGGGAGAATTGACTTGAAGAATGTCTCCAGGAGGATATCCTTCAGCTAGTGGGAGTAATATAGGAATCACCTCGCACCAGCAAGTGATTCTTATTAAAGATAAGATGACATGGTTGTCATTCCTTCTGCACTCACTTCTCTTTCTCTAGAAGTACTTAAAAGTGTAGCACCGGAAAAGTCTCTAAGCATTGGATAGTCCAATAAAAGAGAACCTCTTCACGATCAGAATGAACAGCCTGAACAAAACGCAAAAACAATCAACTCTGCGGGTCTACTAGGATTCATCATGAACTAACTAGGTTAGGCTTCCTCATGGAGGATCATGATGATGTTGAAATTCCTGACAAGGATGAACCTAAGACTTACACTGAAGCAACATTAGATATTGATTCAGAGAGGTGGCGAGAGGGCACGAAATCTAGAATGGACTTGATGTATATCAATCAAGTATGGAACTTGGTTGACTTGCCTGTTGGGTTAGACCCATTGGATGCAAAGGATTTTTCAGAAGAAAATTGATGCTGAAGGTAAGGTGCAAGCCTAAAAAGCTAGGCTAGTGGCTAAAGATTATAGTCAAAGAGAAGGAATTGACTATAGTGATACCTATTTGCCAGTTGCAAAACTCAAGTCCATTCGGATTTTGCTTGTGATAGCTGCATAGTATGATTATGAGATTTGACAAATGGATGTCAAAACCCACTTCCTTAATGGAAACCTCAAGGAGGAGGTGTACATGGTACAACCTGAAGGTTTTTACATCCATGTCAAATTCTAAATCATTATGTTAATTAGAGAAATCTATTTATGGGCTAAAACAAGCCTCTAGGAGTTGAAATATTAATTTTGATGAAATAGTCAAATCGTTTGACCTCATCAAATGAAATGAGAGTGCTTGCGTGTTTAGAGTGCGCAACAAGGATAGAGTGGTCTTTATAATCATATATGTTGATAATAGAGAATGATATCCCCTCATTGAAGTCCGTGAATGAATGGTCACCCAAAATCTTTATGAATATCTTTTTGTCTATGGTAGACAGAAAGAACTAGTAGAATTTAATTATTCTAGCACTAGTTTCATGTATGATAAGAAAGATTGCGAGTCACAGTCAGTATATGTTTTTAGTCTCAATGTAATAGTAGTGCTGAAAGAGTTGCAAGTAAGAAACTACTATAAATTCGACAACTAGAGCCTAGTAAATTGTTGCATTTGATGCAACATAGGTAAGAGTTTAGATACGTTAGTTCCTTAAAGAAATAGGGGTAGTTCCTGGCGACAGTTATCCAATAATTGTTATTGTGACTGTACCGGTATATTTGCGCAAGCTAAGGAACCAAGATGCAAAGTAAGGAACTAGAAAATACCAGTATGCTATCATGTTTTGAAACAAATAGCAAGATGAGAAGTTGCAATAGAACGCATTCCCGTAGAGGACAATTTGGCTGGCTCATTCACCAAACCTTTGAGATGTGAGAAACACACTAGACTTTTGAGAGTCTAGGTGTTAGACACATCGGTGATTGGCACTAGGCCAAGTGGGAGATTGTTAGTATATATGTCCTAGCGACAATCACTTTTTAGAGATATATGTACTTGATCACATTCAGTTTTATATATTCGATATATGCGGTATTACACATTGATGATTAAGTATTTTGATTGTCAATATCTTATTCATAATTGTGTTCCCTTGGACTTATGTTATCAATAAGTAAGTGGGAGCTTATATGATATCACATAAGGTCCTAAAATAGCCCCAATCAATGATCATCAAGAATGGGATATTGATGATATGCGATAAGATTGGTATGTGGACTGCATCATACTTTTAGAAAGTATAGTTGATCTCACAACGATGAGTTCCTGTAATTCATGAGGATCACATAGATATTTTAGAGAATATTGGCATACCCATCGAGAAACCATTTGATAAGTTCTATTCATGTGTCTATGGGATTATCGGCGTATAGAGTAGTGTAATAATCCTCCGACTTGAGGTCAATACGTACTACATGTGCGGAGTGATGTACTTTGACCATGACCAACGCTTGCACTCCAATCGGGGTAGATACGGCATGTGTTGGGTGCATCACGAAGCACATGGAGTAGTAGTTGAGCCAAGAAAGGATTCATTCCTCATAATAGATTAAGAGAGAACATTCTACTTCTCATATATAGATGGATCATAAAGTCATTGGCCAATGCAAAGATATATTCGTTTTGGATATCGAATATGATCGTAATGGATCATCTAGAAAGATTGAGAGACAGAGACTGAGTTATTGGAATAGACACAATATCATGTTCTAGACTTAGGTGAATGTTCGTTTGAATGAAAGGACCGTATCACTATGAGCTCTATATTACAGGGAGTTTGTATAATCCTCACAAACGTCCTTATATATTATGTTTGTCTGGAGAATCGTCTAGGGATTCGCTAAGACCTTAATTTGATTAGTGCTTAATATATAAGGCCCTATGGGTCACACAACAAGTGATTATACCTTTCGATTGAATTGTTAGAAGGAATTAAATATTATTAATTGGATTAAATAATATTTAATTTGTAATACTGAAAATGAATTAAATATTAATTAGATTAAACATATTTAATTCATGAAGCTGAAGGAGAGTTCTATTTGATAGAATTAATTAAGTAAGATAAATTTGATTTATCATACTTAAATAAGATGTATTTATTATTAAATAAAGTAGATATTTTCTTTTGTAATTTTGAATTAAAAGAAAAGTAAATAAAATAAATATTAATATATAATAATTAGAAAGTGGCGTGCAGCCACATCTCAATTATTATTATTATTATTATTATTTGATTTTGTTTTATCTACTTATTTAATTAATAAGGAGTATTGGTCCTGTTAGGATTAGAACTCATTAATGAAGAACACTTTCATTGTGATTGGGAAACTAGTTTAGAACTAGTATAAATACACCCTCCTCCTTCATAATTTACCGACCAGTTTTAAGATTCAGTATTACCAGTTTATTTCCCTGCGAAGAGATTTCCTAGCCTTTCTCTTAGGGAAATCTAACCGTTCTTTCGGAAAGGAGAAATCACGTGGATACCAAAGGTCAAGGATTATCACCGCTAGGCTGGAAGATCTGTAAGTTCTAACTCAGATCTGTTATTATTATCATATTCGTTATTTTGTCATAATCAGGGAAGATCTGTTTGGGAAATTTTAAACTTCCGCTGCCGTACTTTCGAGGTACGTTACATCAATTTCCCAACACTTGAGCGGTCACAGCGTAGGTATCACACAACTATTGTCCCGCACAATCGAACAACGGGAATTTACTCTGTAGCTATTGGTTCGCATGATCCAGTCACAATCGATCTGACAAGGCAGGAATGTGGGTGCGAGTATTGGAAGCAGAACGGGATGCCATGTGTTCACGCGTATGCGGTTTGTCGGTTTTTAAAAATAACCGTAGACGGCCTCATCCCAGCTGTGTATTCGGTAAATGCATACATCGGGGCGTACACTTTCGATATTATGCCTATTAATAATTACCTCAATGTCATGGCAAAAACATCACATACACTTCTCCCGCCCACAAACAATAGATCGGCCAGAGCCGGTAGGCCACAGAGAACTCGATTTCCTAATGAAATGGATTTGCGTGATACAAGGAGAGGACACGAGTAATATTGTAATGTTTACCTTGTTGGATTTTTTTGTTTTGCATCCGATTACTAATGAAATATTTGTTCTCTTTTTCATTGTATAAATTCCATGAGATAAATTCCATAAGATAAATTTAATTAGAAAAACTTGTCAGATAAAATATAATCAGATAAAATATAATTAGATAAAATTTAATCAGATAAAATTTAATTAGATAAATACAATGAGATAAATTTAATCAGATAAAATTAATCAGATAAAATTAATCAGATAAAATTTAATCAGATAAAATATAATGAGATAAATATAATCAGATTAATTTAATCAGATAAAATTAATCAGATAAAATTTAATCAGATAACATATAATGAGATAAATATAATCAGATAAATTTAATCAGATAAATATAATCACATAAATTTTATCACATATAAGTTAATTAATAAATATTCTCGCCAACCTTCAATATCTCATCTACTCCTACCAATACCATTCAAAACTCCTAACTCCAAACAAAAACCACCAAAGAAACACATTCCTATTAAGAGGCCGTTTGGCAACCCTCATTTTCGGCTTATCCGGCTTATCAGCCAATTTTTTTACCAAACACGTAAACTTTGCTTTCACGCACTGAATTGTGTAATAAGCCGAAAAAGTAAGGTTGAAGTTACTTTTCTGGTTGTATTGGCTGAAGTTATTGTAGATGATCATTTTAGCTATTTTTACAAATAATTTTTTCTTGATTTTATTAATAAAATATATTTTAAAAATATTCTTTTCTTGTATCACCAGAATCAGCCAATGCAGCCACTTCAGCCAGAACTTCATAAATTTCAGCAGAATCAGCCAAAACAGCCGATTTTCATGCTACCAAACGGGCTCTGATTGTAACCGTTCAAACAAGCACGCGGATCACCATCGAAGGCCATGATGCAATATCTCCGGTCAGAACTGCCTAATCCGACTGGGAGGAATATTCGAAAACAAAAAAAACCTCCAGTCGGAACTGACTAATGCGACTGGGAGGTTGCTTTAATTCCAGCTTTAATTCCAGCTTCACTTCGTACGCTACACCTCTTTTTCTCTTATAAATACCTTCTAAATTTTATCAATACTCATTCTTACATCATTACTCAATCTCAATTTTATCACTCCCAGAGCAAGAGTATTGACTACCAAATCAAATATTTGGAATCAACCAAATTTTCAGGTTATTTAGTTTTCTGTTTTATAAGTGTAGAAGTAGTTAATTTATTAGTTTGTAAATTTTTAATTTAGATTGTGAATTGGACTTTTAGAGTAAAATATAGCTATAAAATACTTGAAAATTAGAAATTGCCTTAAATTTCGGTTTTAGGAGTGTAGAAGTAGTTAATTTATTAATTTGTAAATTTTTAATTTAGATTGTGAAATTGGACTTTTAGAGTAAAATATAGCTATAAAATACTTGAAAATTAGAAATTGTCTTAAATTTCGGTTTTAGGAGCGTAGAAGTAGTTAATTTATTAATTTGTAAATTTTTAAATTAGATTGAGAATTGGACTTTTGGAGTAAAATATAGCTACAAAATACTTGAAAATTAGAAATTGCCTTAAATTTCGGTTTTAGGAGTGTAGAAGTAGTTAATTTATTAATTTGTAAATTTTTAATTTAGATTGTGAAATTAGACTTTTAGAGTAAAATATAGCTATAAAATACTTGAAAATTAGATATTGCCTTAAATTTCGGTTTTAGGAGTGTAGAAGTAGTTAATTTATTAACTTGTAAATTTTTAATTTATATTGTGAAATTGGACTTTTAGAGTAAAATATAGCTATAAAATACTTGAAAATTAGAAATTGCCTTAAATTTCGGATTTAGGAGTGTAGAAGTAGTTAATTTATTAATTTGTAAATTTTTAATTTAGATTGTGAATTGGACTTTTAGAGTAAAATATAGCTATAAAATAATTGAAAATTAGTAATTGCCTTAAATTTCGGTTTTAGGAGTGTAGAAGTAGTTAATTTATTAATTTGTAATTTTTTAATTTAGATTGTGAAATTGGACTTTTAGAGTAAAATATAGCTATAAAATACTTGAAAATTAGAAATTGTAGTTATTTCAAATTCGAATTAGACTTTGCGTTAAAATTCGAATTTATGATGTTACAAGTAGTTATTTTAGTTAAAATGGTGTTCACCGTTAAAATTCGAATTTAGTAATTTATAACTGCTTATTTTAGGAATTTCAAATGGACCAAAACATTCCGCGCCCCGGGCCTGTTAACCAAAATATTCGAACGCACTACTCACGTTGCCACTGCGTGCCCATCGTGCAGACCGTGTATGGTATGAACGAGATTACAAAGACCCGTGCTTGAAATGCGTCAGTTGCTCTTGTCACGCCTTCAGAGATGAAGAGAGAGATCAAAGAGTGATAGATATGTTAGCATATGCTGGCTTCTTAGGGGTAGAGCACATTGCCCGTATGAAGGTGGATCATAGTTTAATAATAGCTTTGGTGGAGAGATGGAGGTCGGAGACACATACTTTCCATCTTCCATTCGGTGAGGTCGGCATTAGTCTACATGATGTGTCGACCATCCTTGGTTTGCCCATTCGGGGTATGCCCCTCAGTGTTCCAACCGTTAAGGGTAAGGCTCAGTGAATCGACCTGTGCACGCAGTCGTGTGGTTTCACACCTCTAGAGAGTGATATACGCACGAGTGATATCACCATGAGTGCTGTTACCCGTCACCTCATCGTACCTGAGAGTACAGACCAAGAGGTCACCCAACACACTAGGACCCTAATATGGCAATTGCTTGGAGGGTTTTTGTTCCCTGACACGAGTGGGGCAAGAATAAGATTGTACTTGTTAGAGGTCTTGGCTGGTGACTTGGCTTTAGCCTGTCGATGGAGTTGGGCATCAGCGGTTCTCGGCTACCTTTACCATAACTTGTGCAACGGCGCCAAGTGGGAAACCAAACAAGTTGGCGGTTGTATGCACTTGTTACAGATTTGGACTTGGTCGAGGATTTTGATGGTCCATCCCTCAGTACTTCAGGTCATTCAACACGACCATCTTCCATATGGCTGCAGGTATGTTGCCAATTACATCTTAAATGTAGGTGGGTCGTCCCCAAGTCATATAAGGGATCCACAAGACACTGCATACGCTTGTACCGGGATGACCTAGACCGCATGAGAGAGAGTACGGTAGTACTTGAAATTTTTACTTCCACCGTAGTATTCAATTTTCAATACACATTGTTTTATAGTTCTTAAATTGCAAATTAAACTTTTTACAGTTTGATTTCACTCCCTACGCAGAGGAGGAACTCCCACCTATCATCCTTCAGGACGCTCCGCTTTGGTCGACTAGGGTCATGCTCATATTTTGCAATATGGCCGAATTGCATTACCCCGATCGATTTCTTCGGCAGTTCCATATAAGGAAAGATACTCCAAATGCTCCTTTGGCGGGTACTGATCATCACGAAAATCGTTCTAACATAGTAACTGATGCCTTGGCGATGTGGGCGGACATACAACATAACATATACTTTCTTGATTATGATCAACATATGTCCGACGAAGCAACTAAGAGGTACCGAAAATGGTACAAGAAGCATGGCATGACACGTGTCCAGAACCCTTCTCACAATGTGCCCACGACAGGCTACACCCGACATCACACGATTGGGGTATTGTGGTAAGTTTTTTAACACATTCCATATTCATTAACATATTTTGTGGCATATTATTTACACGTGTTACATTTGTATGCAGAAGCAAGGCTTTTACGAGGTGAATCGGCTCTTAGCCGACCGCGCGAGTCATGAGGACTGTCAAAAACGACTTCATGAGATGGGCCTGGCTGTAGGTGATGAAGAGATGCTCCGCCGGGGCGTATTCAATTATGAAGATGAAGATGAAGATGAAGGTGGAAGTGACGAAGAGGATGATACAGATGAACATGAAGGTGGGGGTGAGCACTCACAATCGCCCCATCAATTATCAACACAGGGGGTCTCATTTGATCAACCACCCCCTCAATTCTCAACGCATCAAGGTGTCTCATTTGATCAACCACCGTCGTATTATGATTCTTATCAGTACTCCACACAAGCGGGTGATTATGTTGATTCATTTCTCGATTCGTCGTTTTACTATGGAGACACAACGGGGCCTTGGAACACTGGCGGTGGGGACGGAGCAGGGCCGAGCACGCAACGTTAGATATAGTATTAAATTTAATATTGTATGTACTGTCTATTCATTAATAAATTACATTGAAAACTACAATCCCGTAAAATCCGGTACTCTTTCTTTTTTCTCAATAAAATCCGGTAAATGTTTCCCCTCATTTACCCCACTGATTTTGGTGGTTTGCCTTCCGGGATAAAAAAAAATTAAATTTTAATAGAGATTTTAATGCAATTTATGAATATGTAAATTTTAATCATTAAAATTGAATTAAATATCAACAGGGAAGATTTAACCTTAACATTGGTTGACAAAGAAATATTGACTTCACAAAACAATTTGGGAAGTCTCCAACACACTCATCTTGGTAGGGACATTATGAGATGAATTCGCTGTTTTTGGTAAAAGTCATGGTTCGAAAGGTTCACCTTGAGAAGTCCAATTATAATAATTGTCAACAAAATCTTTCATGTACAAATGCCACCCAATCTTTCAGAGCCTTTACATTAAAAGTTTTTACACTTTGTACGATACAAACGTCTTATTTTATCACCATCCATATACTTTCTTTGTTGAAGTCCAAATGTAAGCAAAATATTTAACTATATCAAGAAATTCTTGTCGAAATCCCTATTTTCGTCATGTCTATCATACATTATTCAACTTCTATTTAGTCTATAGATCATACCTGAATATTATTACTAAAATATTACATTGGTTAAAACTTTAAATTATAACCATTAACAATAACTAGTTATATTTGATACATATTTCAAAACCAATTTGATATATATGCACAATAAAATTTCAACATTATTTTTGATATATTAATTTAAAGGGAAAACTATCAAATAAGCCCCTGTACTATACCGAAAAAGTCGATTAGGCCCTCGTACTTTACAAACACTCAATTAAGTCCCTGAACTATTAAAAAACGTTCAATTAAGCCCTTTTGGTGGGTAAGTAACCGATTTCCCGGTTAAACGACGACGATGGCGACGATGTGCTCGAACCCCAGCAACGGCGGCTTCCGGGAAACATGTTACATTTAACCGGGAAATCAGTTACTTACCGACCGAAAGGGCTTAATTGAACGTTTTCTAATAGTTCGAGGACTTAATTGAGTGTTTGTAAAGTACGAGGGCCTAATCGACTTTTTCGGTATAGTACGAGGGTTTATTTGATAGTTTTCCCTAATTTAAAAACACTTCCAATTGACTATACTTTATTATATATTTCAAAACGTAGGAAATAGTTTTATTTACAATAATAATTCATAAACCCTTTTTAATTAACTAACACTAAAATTCGATTAATACTATAAATTAACTGAAATCCTAAATTGAATGCATTAACCATTTCAATTAAATAAAATTTGAATCCTAATTCACAATAATAATTCACTAATATTTTTATCTGAAATCCTTTTAATTCAAAATAAATTAACTAACATTTAAATTAACTAAAATCCTAATAATTCACAATAATAAATCACTGAAATCCTAATAATTCACATTAAACTCACATATACTCCCTCCGTCCCGTAAACAACTTCCCACTTCATTTTCACACGTATTAAGGAAATAAATTTATTGGGGGGTAAATTTTATTGTTTTGACACTGTTTCGACACTGTTTAACATTTTTTGACAAATAAGAAAGTGGGAAGAAGTGAGAAGTTAATTTCGTGACTATCCGAAAAGGAAAGTGTGAAGTTGTTTACTGGATGGAGGGAGTAAATCTTAACTGAAATTCTAATAAGTTAACTGAAATCCAAATAATTCACAATCGTAATTCACTAATATTTTTACAAATCCATTTGAATTAACTAACATATAAATTAAATTAATATTATCAATTCAAATGGCATGCAGAAGACCGGCCGATAACAATTTGGCGTCTACGATTTCATGCATGCAGTCACACATCCCGCCCTATAAATTCAATATGCCTTACCTGTCTTTCTACCAGAGAAAATTACCAATATACGGGAGTTTTGGGACTGACAAGCCAAAATACGGGACTTCGGTTTAGGTTACCATTTTACGGGGGTCGGATTCTCCAAAAGCTTTGAAAATAAGGTTAGCACACTGGTCGGATTTGGTTGATCCGACAAGAAGGATTAAAGTAAAAGTAAAAATAAAACTCAGTCGGAATTGTGTAATCCGACTAGGGGTGTTCGAAATTTTTTAATGTTTCCATATAATCCGAAGGAATTAAAAAAAAAATAAAAAAAAAAAAAAACCTAGTCGGAAATGTGTAATCCGACTAGGGGTATTAATTTTTTTTTAATATTTCCATTATTAGTGTACCGAAGGAATTAAAAAAACAAAAAAAAAAACGAAAAAAAACCTAGTCGGAATTGTGTAATCCGACTAGGGGGTGTTCAAATTTTTGTATTGTTTGCTTTGATTTGTGTTCACTCATTTTACCAAATTAAACGGAATATTGACACATTCAAACTCTTGAGTGATTGTACATTTAAAAAATTTAATATATTTTGGTTGAAATAAAATGAAAAAAAAAACAAATTTCTCCCTGTTGGAAATGCTAAATCCGACTAGGGGATATTTTTTGAAAATTTTATTTTGTTTTATTTTATGAAATTTTAAGAAATTTTATAAATTACGCTATATTTTGTTTTATTTTAAGAAATTTTATAAATTAAATTGTTATTTTAAGAAATTTTATAGTATTTATTTTTTGTAGTATATAATATTATTGCAATTTATGAATGTATCTATTTTGTACAGTCATAAACTCGGGTGAAGAGTCAGACGACCCACACTATGAACAGGGTTTTAGTAGTGATGTCGATTCATCCACGAGCGATGATAGTGATGAGGCAGTAGACACCACGTGGGCCAAACAAGTTGGCGGTTGTATGCACTTGTTACAGATTTAGGCTTAGGCGAGGCTTTCGATGGTCCGTCCCACAGTACTTCAGGTCATTGGACATAACCGTCTTCCATATGGGTGCTGGTATGTTGGCAATTACATCTTAATAATTGAGAATGTTTTATATGACGTTACATTTTTTAACTTCATATTGATAATCAATAAATGTAGGTGGATCGTCTCCAAGTCATATAAGAGATCCCCATGACACAGCCTACGCTTGTACCGAGACCAAATAGACCGCATGAGTGAGAGTCAGGCAGATAATGAGAGTCTAAATGCGAGAAAAGTACCAAAATACGGGCTTTTCCCGTCTGACAATCCAAAAAGTGGGAGTTGCAATTAGGTTACCAAAATGTAGGAGTAGTAGGAGGAGGAGGAGTAGTAGCAGTAGTAGGAGGAGGAGGAGGAGTAGTAGTATGAGGAGGAGTAGTAGTAGGAGTAGTAGCAGTAGTAGGAGGAGGAGTAGTAATAGGAGGAGGAGGAGTAGTAGTAGCAGTAGTAGTAGGAGTAGTAGGAGTAGGAGTAGTAGTAGGAGGAGGAGGAGGAGGAGGAGGAGGAGGATGAGTAGTAGGAGTAGTAGCAATAGTGGTAGTAGTAGGAGTAGCAATAGTGGAAGTAGTAGTAGTAGTAGGAGTAGTAGTGTAGTAGTAGGAGTACGGTAGTAGTAGTAGTAGGAGTAGTAGTAGTAGTAGTAGCAGCAGTAGTAGTAGGAGTAGTAGGAGTAGTAGTAGTAGGAGGAGGAGGAGGAGGAGGAGGAGTAGTAGTAGCAGTAGTAGGAGTAGTAGTAGTAGTACCATCACGAATTTAGCCATATATTAAAACCCCTTTATCAATCTCAAATCCCTAATTAAAACTACTCCCGACTCATGATTGAAGAATCAACATAAATTTAACGATACTACATCCCAATTCTGTTGATTCTTCAATCATGAGCCGAGAGTAGTTTTATTTAGGCATATAGTAGGACTTGGATACTCAAAACGGAGAGAAGTGCCATATCAATGATCACTACAAGATGAGATGCTTCTTCCACCATGAGCAAGCTCAACCTAGAAAAAAAAAATCAGTCAATCATGTTTTATGACATGTTTTAAAGCAACAAAAATAAGTCATTGAAAAAACACCAAACCAAATCACTTGATCTTACATGTTTTATTACCCTCATTCGACACCCAGAAAACAATCAATCAAACACTCACTAAGAAAAAATCACAAACACTCACCTCCAAATGTTTCAATGTTTCTGCTTTTCTTTTACTTTTCATATTATCTAAATGAAGTAGCAATGAATTTAGCAGCAAGATAGACAATTGAATGAAAAATAAAATAAAATAAAAGAAGAAATCCTACCTCAGGTAGGTGATGGATTCACTTTTACAACATCCACGACCAGTCTTAATTTATGGACTGGGATGACAAATTGGGTACTGCTACAAGCGTGGATGTCTCATAGAGATCTTTAAACAACCAAACTAAAGATGAAATATTTCAATGGAGGAGTAAATCAAAAGTGACCTCCAAATGTATGTCCACAATTACCCTTTGTAATATGCCTAAACAGGACCTAAGTTATGTAGTATGACATCAAACATTTAGACCAAATAATAAGGCCAGAAAGGTTCAATTTTTAATAATGTAACCCTTCACATGATAACCCCATGACATTTCTACTTTTCAAACAAATCTCATGGTTGAGATTGAATCCAATTAGATAGATAAAGTAACCCAAAAATAAACAATATGTCTCTATGCATAAACAACCATGTCACTCTCTCTAATATGCACAGATTATCAATTCAAAATGCACAATTGCACAAAGAAATAAGAGAAGTAGAAAGAAGCATATCATCACTATTAGGAGTAGTGGCAGGAACCTGAGCATTGGCTGAACGGATGACTAACGACCATGTATCGTTAAATATATTAATTTGTGGTGAAGATTTCTAACAAATCGGTGACACTATTAATGTTGTTTACAAAATGTGTTTCAAAATATATAGCTTGTTGGCTCTTGCAAGCTTATTTTCATATATATTTCTTCCTTTTCCAAAACATAACTTGAATAAATTTTGAGTACTACTTTCTTTTCCTAAATTATAACCTTTTACGTAATATTGTATCTTACTTACATCTATACTCTTTTGATACATTTAACTAATTTTATATTATTTATATATATATATATATATATATATTTATCATGAAGTACTTTTTATTATACATTCACTAATTGTGTTAACAAATCATCATATATAGTTATTAACTAATTATTAATTTTTATCCCGTGCATCGCACGGGTGAGAATCTAGTTTCCCTACTCCTAAAACCTTTGGACTAGACATACCCTTATACTCCCTCTGTCCCAATTTGATTTGCAAAATTTCCTTTTTTGGTTCTCCCAAAATGATTTTCCACATTCTATTTTAGGTATGTAAATAAAAACACAAATTTACCATTACTTTTACTTTTTTCTCATTAACTTAAAGGTGTCTATTTTTAGAAAGATGGGCAAAAATGTAAAAATCAAAAATCATTTATTGTCATTTTTTAATCCTTATGCCGATCAAAGTTTGCAATTCAATTTGGGACGGAGGGAGAAAGTTATAACCACTCTACTTCACACGCGTGTTTCAGTCTTTCAGAATGTATAAATAAATAACTTTAACTGCACACTATACCCGTGAACGTTTGGCCGGGTGCGAAGCTTACCGGCGAAGCTTTTACTGTACGGAGTACTTTGCATCCACTTTCCACTTTATGAATTTATGTGCATTCCCAAAGTTATTGCTTACCTGAGAAGGAATAACACAATTGTCTCGATGTGAAGGACTCACCACATATATATATATACCTACATAAGTCACCCGGCCACAATAACCCATCCAATAAGTATCTAGGCCACAGTGCATGAATTGAAGCAGCCTAGCTAACTAAAATAAAAAAACAAACATGGTGTCCACCAAATCCATTCTACAATCAGCAGCATCAGTGGCCGCATCAGCGGTGATGGTCCGGTCGCTGGCCCGGGAAATATTGCCCAGCGAGTTCCACGACACTGTCTTGTCAAATGTCAATGTCCTTCTCAAGTCCTTCTCTCCCACCATGGAATTAGTCATCCTAGAGTGGACTAAGGGTGGCAAAAACCAAATGTACGAGGCAGCGGAGTCGTATCTAGGGAGGCAGCACGGTCTGTCCGACTCAGCCGCCTCTTACCGCTTACGCGTCGCCCTCCCCAAGGGCGAGGCTAAGATCTCTACCACAATAGACAAAGACCACCAAGCCGTTGATTGTTTCAAGGGCGTCACCTTCACGTGGACTAAAAGCACTGCGAAGCGAAGGCGTGATGAATATTGCACCACCTCAGAAGTAGAGTGCTCCCCTTTTTTACCATCACCTTTCACAAGAAACACAAGAAGATGGTGTTTGAGGCTTACTTCCCCTTCATATTAGCCGAGTCAATCAAAGGCAAACTCGAGCTAAAGACTCCCAAGCTCTTCTCCATGAAACTAGATCACGGGTACTCTTATAGTCAGGATGGTGATGATAATAAGTGGAAGTTTGTCAAGCTTGACCATCCTTCCACCTTTCAAACCCTAGCTATGGATACCGAGTTGAAGATATCCATTATGGAAGATCTTGATAGGTATGTCTTAATTACAAAGGGACGCTTTTAATTAGACATAAATTTTCTGTTTCAATCTAGTCTGATCTGGGTCTGGGATGGAAAACGGTTCAAGTAAAAAGATCCTAATTAAGTGAACTTCTTTACCATTTCTTATTTAGTTGTCCCATAAAACACTTTCATTTCAATTTTTTGTTTTTCGCGACTCTGCAAATGAAAATGTGGCCTAATGCAAAATGTGGCATTATCACAAATTTTAAATGCATAATTTCATTAATAAACTGAATTTTTCTGCAATCACAAACTATGCATCATCTGAAAGCTCTCCCCTGTGTGAACATGAATTAATATGTAGTCCGTAGTATAATATATAAACACAAATAATGACAATGTAACTTTGATTTGTACATTTATAGGTTTGTGAAGAGAAGAGAGTATTACAGGAAAGTTGGGAAGGCTTGGAAAAGAGGGTATTTGCTGTATGGTCCACCCGGGACGGGGAAATCAAGCTTGATAGCAGCCATGGCTAACTACCTCGAATTTGACATATATAATCTCGATCTGACTGCTGTCCATACCAATTGTGAACTGAAGAGCATTCTTCTTTCCACTGGGAACAGATCGATACTAGTTGTGGAAGACATTGATTGCAGTGTTAGTATCACTAACCGAATTGCAAACCAACAAGCCTTATGTAACGCCGCCAAAAAGTCAAAAAACAGAGATGTAAGTCCTATTTAATATTATTACTATTACTTTTGTTACTATTATTATTTTTTATTACTCACTACAAAAAAATAGTGTTTTTGTCACGAAGTGTTCACGGATTAGTCTGTTACAAGTTTGTAACAGATTTTGCAGTTTATTTTGATTTGGAGTGAAAGATCAAATAACACTACTACATTTTTAGACCTAATGTAACAATAGAGATGTAACATATCTATAATAGTGTTACCTATTTCTCTAATGTAACACTTTTTAGACCTAATGTAACACTTTCTAGAAGTATAAGTGTTACATTAGGTACTATAAAGTGTTAGAATAGGTCAAATGCACCACCACCAAATGTAATGGTAAAACAATGATACATTTTTTCTGAAAAGTGTTACATTAGAGAAAATGTAACATTTTTTTACCATTACATTTGCTGGTGTTGCATTTGACCTATTGTAACACTTTATAGTACCTAATGTAACACTTATACTTCTAGAAAGTGTTACATTAGGTCTAAAAAGTGTTACATTAGAGAAATAGGTAACACTATTATAGATATGTTACATCATTAATGTTACATTAGGTCTAAAAATGTAGTAGTGTAATATATAGATGGCATTCTATTTTGAAATTTAAGGGAGAGTAAAATTTAATCACTGTTTATGATAAATGTTTTCGAGCACATCAACCAAATGAAAACTAACCTACATTGTTGTATATGAGTTCAACCAGGTGGTGACTTTGTCAGGACTACTGAACTTCATTGACGGGTTGTGGTCGAGTTGCGGGGACGAGAGGATCATCATCTTTACCACAAACCACAAGGAGAGATTGGACCCGGCGCTTCTACGGCCGGGTCGGATGGATGTGCACATCCAAATGTCATACTGCACATTTGGCGCCTTCTTGACTTTGGCCAAGAACTATTTGGGAATTGAGGGGCACTCTCTGCTTTTCCCAGAGATTCAAAATTTGTTGGAGAAGGCAAAGGTGACCCCTGCTGTGGTCGGTGAGCACTTGCTGAGTAATGAGAATCCTGACCACACCCTCCAAACTCTTGTTGACCTTTTAAAAGTGAAAATAACCGAAAATGAAAATGAAAAAGCTAACCAGGCAGAGGGTGAAGCGGCTATGGAACCCTTGATTCAATCTGATGACAAATCTTATTAATTAGTATTAAGTGTGCTTTGTTTTAGCTTTAATATTAATGTAATACTTGGTGTATTGTTGTTAGTACTGTTACAGTACTACCTATCTTAAAAGATGTTCTTTATTTCACTTTATTTGCCTTTTTTATTTGTTTTAATCCAAGTGGCTCTCTTTGTGAATTGATCGTCTTGTTGTCGTTAAAGGCATGGTATTAATTAATCAATTTACTTGATTTGGAGTTTTAACCTCTTTTAGCGTTAAATTAATTTAACAAAACATTTGGAGAGATTGTGTATTACAAACTCAAACACACACATACAGAGTATATACTTGCACCATCTGTACGGGAAATTCAACTCTAGGCCCTAATACCCCCAACTCATTAATTGCACCATACATAGCATGCAGTTTATTTTTTAAATATAGATGATGCAATTAAAGAGGTGTAAGGTATTATTTGCGTAAAGTTGGATTGTTGTACTGCTCAGGCGGGATTTATTAAAGACTTCACCACATCCAAATGAGGTGATTACAGTACGTCCGACCGAAACCAATGCAGTGTGAGTTCGGTTTGCTGTCAGTGCCGCAATTTGGGAATGATGGGAATTCGTAAAATTGGAATCAGATGCTTTAACGGTGGTTCAAGGAGTAGGGTGGGGGGTGAAAGGACTTTCCTCTTTTGATGATATTCAAAATCTTTCCAAAACAAAGAGAAAGTTTAGTCTTTGTGATCTTTTTGTAAACGGTCTGCGAACCAGTAAGTAGCAAAACATGTTACTGCAATTCTACAAGACGATGAAAGTAGTTTTGATATTAACCCTTGATTGACTACATGATTTGTGAACCATCGTACTCCGTACTTCACACACTATGCCCGTGAACATTTGGTGCGAAGCTTTTTGTGTACTTTAGCATTCACTTTATGTTTTGTTTCTCATACGAATTAGGAATGGTACGAAAATCATGTTCACTTCATCTTTGACCTAATTGACCAATTTCTCTGCGCACTTTATTATGTCTTGGAACTTGATGCACTTAATGATCCAATATACTTCGCTATCAAGGTTTAACTACTCCCTCCGTCCCTATATAAAAGTATTCATTCATTTTACACACATCTTAAGAAAGTGGGTTTGGTTGGTACTGTTTGGCACTGTTTGGACACTGTTTGACACTGTTTGGCACTGTTTTGCACTGTTTTGCACTGTTTTGTTTGCCAAAAAAGGAAAGGGAACTTTTATTTAGGGACGGCCCGAAAAGGAAACAGATGCTTTTATTTAGGGACGGAGGGAGTATAATTTAAATTACAACTACAGAGTAATATTTAATCTAAAATGAAGAAGAACGTTGAAGATTTCTATTATATTCAACGATTTGATGATATTCGTTTTTATACTTTCACATGAACTTAGTAAATTAAAAATGATATTTGTCTCGTGCATCATTATTTTGCTATACTTTTTCTTAGTTGTGTTGCACTATTTATGTATTTGTGAATTTTAGTACTACGTATGGTTGGTTGGTGTGATGATATCTACTAATTGGAAGATTTGCTCAAAATTTTTAGCATGTGTTTGGCCTTGTACCGTACCGTTTTGTACCGTTCCGAAACAACATGATATCGAATAGTTTTATCTTTGGAACCGGACCGTACCGGACCATTAAAAACTTCACGGATACATTAGCGGTTTTATAAAAACTTGACCGCTAGCTGTTAATTTGTGATGTTAGATTTTCATAATCTATGAACTTACAAGTGATATCACCAATACATATATAGTGCATCTGGGTGTATGTACACCCGGCCCAAGTAAGAGAGACGGCCCAATCATTAATATAGGCAAAAAAAAATTCGATGACATTTTTGTAATTCAAGCGAAAAATCACGGCTTCCGCTAAATGAACAATAGTGTAATTTTAATGAGCATCTGACCTATTTTATTGAGTATTTAAGAGGCTAACAATGAGTTTCACGATCCTTGCTTCATATCTTCTAATTCTTTTTTCTTTTTCTTATTTTTTGTTTTATAAAAATTTATTAAATTATATCTATAATACACTCCTATTAATTTCAATATGTGAGTCTAATGCAATATGATACTTTTGAAATATGCATTGATATGACATTTTAAAAATGAGCATAACATCAGTACCAAATGAGCATACATAACTTACAAAGTGCACATTGATATGAAAAGCGTAAGGTTTGTTAGTTGAACATCACGATATTTCAATTGAGCATCAAACCTCTGCTATTGAGATAAATTCACGATTTCTATTAAATGAGCATTAATGAATTTTTAATGAGCATCACACCTATACAAATGAGCATGTGTAACTTACAAGATGAGCATTGATATGAAAATTGTAAGTTTTGTTCGTTGAGCATAAAAATATTTTCAGTGAGCATCAAACCTCCGTTATTGAGTATTAGAATCGTGCGGTTGAGTATCATGATTTGTGGTCTCGTGTCTATAATCAACTTCTATGTAAATCTGATGTAATTTGAGACTTTTGAAATATGCATTAATATAACATTTTAAATTGAGCATAACAGAGCTACTAAATGGACATACATAACTTACAAAATGAGTTTTCAAAAATTCAAAAGCTCATTTGTGCATGTTCATTTCTTTCAAGCATTGTATCAATTTGAGTTTAACATAAAACTAATTTCTAATGTGCTCAGTATTAATTTATAAAGGTGAACATTCAATTAATTGATACCTACAATATTTTATAATGCACAATTTAAAGAAATACTGAAGATATAAATGAAGGTTAATTTGAAAAAGAAAAAAAAAGCAAACGACGTTAAAGTTGCCCATTTTATATGGCACATATTTATCAATAAAAATTAATGGAAAAAGTTGGTTAAAAGAAAAAAGAATACGCAGAGAAGAAAACACAGATGCAAATAGAATACATAGGGGAAAAGGTAGTAAACAAAGATACGTATGATGGCATGAAGCAAAAGAAAATTCAGAGTGCAAACAAAACTGAGAAAAGATTGGCACAGGAAGATTCACGCAGGAAGAATACACACTGATGAACTAAATTGCCATTCTAATTAGAAAGAATTTCAAAAATACCCGGGTGTATGTGTAAAAATCATAGGATCCAAATGAGACCGAACCCACGCCATTATATTAGAGTAGCGTTCCTTCAGTAAAAAAATGTAACGTATAGTATATGGGATTTGTGAAGTAGAGTACGTAATATACAGTCATAGCAACACTCGATCGCATGCATAAGCAGAATACACCATTTGTTCACGAGAGCCATGCATGCATAATCCCCAACACGATAATTAAGAGTCGTAATTTGAGTTTTCTTAATTAATGACAATGAACTCTGACTAACGATATTTTAGTACAAAATCATTTTGAAATGAAAATTGTATCAAATTGTTCCTTACTCAATATATTTTCATAAAAGTATAAAATTAATAAATTTTATATAATTATAGTAATTAAAATCATTGTCCAAAAAAGTCAAATCTTTTCGGGATAGACGTGATAGCTTTTAAAGATTGTGTAAAGATTTCTAATTTCAGACATGAATAGGCCCCAGCCTGAAGGAAACAAACCGAATTCAATCACAAAAAATTTGACTGGGGCCGAAGATAATAGGTGTTAATTATATCGTTGACCGTTGTGATACCAGATTTTCATAATACATCATTTCATTTGTTCAGGAGAGCCATGCATAATAAGAAGTGAGTATATCCCCCAACACGACATGTCTAGTCAGCAGATCAGACACCCCGCCGGCCCTATCTATAAATTCAATATGCAGATAATCCGGCCAAGGCACGGCGTATCCATTCATTGATTCTGGTAATCCGGCCTTCTTCTTATTACCTGTCTTTCTACCTGCACTGACTCTAACATAGCGTACGTGACTGATCCAGCAGGCCAGGCCACCGCTAGCTCCAAAATTCAAATCCTTTCTCCGATTGGCCCTCCTGGGAATTCAAGCTTGATTGCTAGCTGCAAGGGCAAACAACAGCCCCCACGCCACCACCTTTACGAGGATCAAACCCTATGAACCAGCTTGTAAGTTTATTCAAGTGTTTTACTGAAATGTGTTCTTTACTTAAACAGTTCAATTTCTATTAGTGCATCTTGTCTGAGTTTGAGTAAGCGATTTCTATTACGTACAGGAAAGTTGGGAAGGCTTGGAAAAGGGGTTATTGGTTGTTTGGGCCTTCTGGGACGGGGGATATATATCTAGCTTGATTGCTGCATTGGCTAATTACTTGCAGTTTGACATTTATGATTTGGAGTTGACTGATATGTTCAAACGTTGAGCTGCTGAGGAGCGTTCTTAGCTTGTTTCCTCGGATCGAAAACCGATGGATTCTGGTGGTGGATGACATTGATTGCAACTTGGATACTGAAAAGCGAAAACCAAACAAGAACGCCCACACCACCACCTTCATGAGGATCAAGCAGTAAGTTTATTTAAGTTTTTTCCTGAAATGTGTTACTCCGTATTTCTTTAAAAGTTTAGTATACTTCATTTAAAATGAGGAGTCCTTAAATATTACTAATAAAAAGTCGGACAAAAATATTACCCTTAGTAACTATTAGTGACTATCGTTATATTTAAATTTTAACAATGTTTAAAGGGAAAACTGTCAAATAGGTCTTCGAACTTTCATAAAAAGGTCAATTAAGTCTTTAATTTCTATAGGAGGTTCTGTACGGCCGTCGCGATTTTGGGCAGTTCCCGGTAGAATTTTTTGATGAAATGTTTTAACTAGAATATGACTAAAGTTAACATGAGTATACCATTCATGATATGTTTGTATCCACAATATTAGTTTTTGTCATATATTTGACATTATTTCTTAGAGTAATTATGATGTGTTATTAAGTGAAACATCATAGCATAAATGAAGTACATACAAACGTTTATACGGAGTAGACTATAATTCGGTTTTCGGTTAACCGACCGATAACCGATTAAAATAACCGAATAACCGACTTCTTTTAATATGTAATAACTGATGACCGACCGATAACCGACTTTTTCGGTCGGTTTGGATATCGGTTATCGGTTTTATCGGTTTTATCAGTTATTTACTCACGCGGCCACTTTTTCGCAATTAATCATTAGCAACCTTTCATTAATAAGGTTTTTGCGACCATTTTGTCCTTCACAAATAAGCCTTTTCTTGTAGTGACAC